CACACACACACACACACACACACACACACACACACACACATACACGCACACACACACACACACACACACTCACACACACACACACACACACACTCACACACACACACACACACACACATACACGCACACACACACACACACACACACACACACACACGCGCACACACACACACACACACACACACACACACACACACACACACACACACACACACACACACACACACACACACACACACACACACACACACACACACCACACACACACATACACGCACACACACACATACACGCACACACACACACACACACACACCACACACACACACACACACACACATACACACATACACACACACACATACACACACACACACACACACACACTCACACACACACACACACACACACACACACACACATACACACATACACACACATACACACACACACACACACACACACACTCACACACACACTCACACACAGCTTTCATACTAGGCAATGTGGGTGAAGTGCCTTGCCTAAGGACACAACAACAGTTTTGTTTAGTTTTTTTCTGAGTGGCGCCCCCCTGTGGCTCTTGATTTTACCAGTGTCTCCCATTCAAGGACGAACCAGGCCCGACCCTGCTCAGGTTCTGAGATCTTATGGGATCAGGCTTTGACAAGCTGGTATGACCACAAGACCTGGTTCAGTTTTGGTTTAGATCTGGTTTAGACCTGGTTTAGTCCTGGTTTAGTCCTGGTTTAGTCCTGGTTTAGTCCTGGTTTAGACCTGGTTTAGTCCTGGTTTAGACCTGGTTTAGTTCTAGTTTAGTCCTGGTTTAGACCTGGTTTAGTCCTGGTTTAGTTCTAGTTTAGTCCTGGTTTAGACCTGGTTTAGTCCTGGTTTAGACCTGGTTTAGTCCTGGTTTAGACCTGGTTTAGTTTAGACCTGGTTTAGACCTGGTTTAGTCCTGGTTTAGTCCTGGTTTAGTCCTAGTTCAGTCCTGGTTTATTCCTGCATTAAACCTGGTTTAGATCTGGTTCAGTGCTGGTTTAGTCTTAGTTTAGATTAGACCTGGTTTAGACCTGTTTTAAACCTGGTTTAGACCTGGTTTAGTCCTTTTTTCCCCTTTCACACATTTGAAATGTGCCAAAAGTTGCTTGCAAAAAAACAAAAAACAAAAACAAAATAAAAACAGCAACTTTAAAATCTAAAGTCTACTTGTGGTTAACATGTTTAACACACAAACTCTGTGTATTTAGGCTGAATTTTTCTCTCAATCTGAAGCTTTAAAGAAGCTGTTAACATGAAAACTACCACTGCATGACATCACAAGGTGGAGCAGAGTGTTTAGAGCTTTGGAGATGTAAACAGACTGATAATAAAGAGTTTCTCAAACATGTGTGAATGAAACAAAACACAAGTCCAGCTCTGTTTTTGGGAGTCACTTTTGTGTAATACAGGATCTTTAAATAAAAATTTCCTCTAAACTTCTGTGTCGTCATTTAAAACCCACAATAAAATAAAATAAAATAAACACAATAAAATATGAGAAAATACAATTATAAGAGTCGTCTTCAAGGACATTCACGTGCACAAAAGCGTCTGAATGAGCGTCTTTCTTCCCCGTCACTGCAGATCCATTCACAGTTTCCTCAATAGACTCTGGATCTATAGACGGGAGATGATTGACAGGTGCAGCCCCTGCCCCTGCCCCTGCCGCTTGGAGCCGCAAACCCCGCCCCCTCTGGACTCTTTAAATGCAGCCTAATGCGAGCTATAGCAGCAGCACCGGACGCAGCAACAGGTGAGTGGCACTTCACCGGGTCGATGTGTCAGGACACATTTAATATTTATTATTTTTGTTTTTGTGGTGTAGAATTTTCTGTAATTGTGTCAAGTGACGTGGTTTTGTTCATTTCAGGTTTCAACTTTATGTAGGCTGTGTTATATAATTACAATTTTGAGGTAAATTTCAGAAAACGAATTTGTAAAGTCTTGCACAAAAACATCGCTGCAAAAAACTCAGATCTAGTCCAGTTCAGACGACTTGAATTAAGAAAGATTTATCATGATTTGAGTAAATTGAGGTCAGTCAAACGACCAAAACTGCAACTGGTTCAGTCCTCGTTTAGTCCTGGTCCAGTTCTGGTTTAGAATTGGTCTAGACCTGGTTTAGAACTGCTTTAAACCTGGTTCAGTCCCTGATTCAGTGACCTGGTTTAGTCTTGGTTTAGACCTGGTTAATCCTGGTTCAGTCCTCGTTTAGTCCTGGTTCAGTTCTGGTTTAGACCTGCTTTAAACCTAGTTTAGTCCTGGATTTGTCTTGGCTTTAGACCTGGTTCACTCCTGGTTTAATCCTGGTATAATCCTGGTTTAGTCCTGGTTTAGACCTGGTTTAGTCCTGGTTTAATCCTGGTTTAGACCTGGCTCAGGCTTGGTTTAGTCCTGGTTTAGACCTGGTTTAGTCCTGGTTTAATCCTGGTTTAGACCTGGCTCAGGATTGGTTTAGTCTTGGTTTAGACCTGATTTAGTCCTAGTTTAGTCCTGGTTTAGACTTGGTTTAGACCTGCTTTAAACCTGGTTCAGTCCCTGATTCAGTCCTGGTTTAGTCCTGGTTCAGTCCTGGTTTAGACCTGGTTTAGACCTGGTTTTGTCCTGGTTCAGATTAAATTTACTCAAATCATGATAAAACTTTTTCAATGTTCTTAATTTATTTCATTTTAATTTAAGATTTATTTTTTTTCCAGTGTAAATATTTTATGAACACAAAATAATATTAATATTTTTAGTAATGTCTAAGAATTTAGAAAGATTTCAACAGCAAATATGAATTTAATTTGATGAATATTTTAAAGGTGACTGTGATTTTTGTGGTGGAGGCCGTCACCTGCTCGTCTCCATGGAGATTTAATTACTCTGCAGAATGTTCCACAGTGCTAGTATCATTATTAGTATAGAGTAAAGTTATATATTTTGCTTTTATTCGATTACAGGTGTTTTTATTGCTTAAAATGCTTTGAAAAACATTCTACTGTAAGAAGGCTCGCTTCTCCACAGATCTGTCCTGTAACATGGACTGGTAGTGTTCTGCTTTTCTCCATGGAAATACTGTGAAACATTCAAGATTATACGATATATGTCCACAAGAATACTTACACCAAGATTTAAAAAAAAAAAAATTACTGTTTATCAGGGATGTGATGATATCGAAATCTCTAGGTACGATATTATCACGATATACATCTCACAGTACGATATTTATTGCGATATTTTGAAGAGGCTAGAACACGTTTTTGCTTTTAAAATACCTTGACAAGATTTTGGTGTGAATTATTTCCATCATAATCCCAAGAATTCAAGACATTAAACATAGGAACTTGTAATTCGACATTATTGTGAGACTTTTGACGATACGATATCACGATGTTTTGGCTGCGGCAGCTCAGTCGGTTGAACGTTCATCCACTGATCTGAAGGTTGGCGGTTCAAATCCTGCTCTTGACATAACTATCATGGGTTGAGCGAGCAGATCCGCTAGTCCCCAGATGAATGCTGTTGTTGTGTCCTTGAGCAAAGCACTTAAAGCTTGTATGGAGGATTTTTTTTTGTTTCAAATTGTCAATGAAAGTTTAAAATACCATTACAGAGACGCAGCAGCTTTGTAATTATAATGACCAAAAAAAAAAAAAGAATGAAAATCTATCAACTGTGGACGTAGTGAGGACAGATAAACATCAGCCAATAGAAAACGAGGCTCCCTCATTTTCTATTGGCTGTCAGGTTGTCAATCAAACTCCCTAGTGTAACTGAGTCGTGGGCGCGCGGGGATTATGTGGTTTACGCAGCGGTTCTTAGAGGCTTTTTCAAACTGTAGTTTCCTCGCATTTCGCACAAAGTTTGTCGCGACGGCGGACGAGAATCCACGACCAGTTCGCCGCAAAAGAAAGTCCGTTTTCGAGGTCGCTGAAAGAAGAAGAGAAGGGGAAAAGGAGCGAAGACAAACTGAGGTGATTCTTGGAGATTCCTTCCACCGATGGTGCGACTGAAACAGACGAAGGGTTTAAAAACTGACGCGTCGGTCGATAAATTACCTCTAGACAGGAAACTTCAACAGTGATTCTGAACGCGCACAAGGACTGTCGCTGTATTTCTCTTCCCTTAAAAAAATCCTCTATACAACCTTTAACCCACCTCACCACCAGCGTCTGTGTACACTGGTGGTTTCTTGTTGAAGATGGAAAAGTGCTATAGAAAAACGTGACCATCCCTAATGTTTATATGAACTACTGTACTATACTAGAGCTGCAGTCTTGCTCTTTGTTCTCTTCAGGCTGTGGGGAAGAAACTGAATCCAGAATAATGTGGTAGAGTCAGAGAAAAAGCTGCTTCTGCTGGATGTTTGTCTGTCCTGGTTCAACACAGAGTGAGAAATGTTCTGAGTGAGATTTAATTGAGTCAACAGTTCAGACTCATGAACATAAAGAAGATAAAAAGATAAACGTGTGTTTTAAATATAACTGACTTCTGTCCGTTCACTTTCACTTTTGGTAAAATGTCACTGGTCACATTCATTTCATTCAGCGATTTTCCAGCTCTGAGGTGCTCAAAGCTCTTTACGTCAAAGAACCACTCATCCATTCACACACCCACACACACTCACTCATACATTCATACATTCATACATTCATACACCAGGGGGGAGGGGGGTTGAGTGTCTCGCCCAAGGACACAATGACAGTGTTCGTCTGTGGATCTGAGCGCTCGACCAGTGATGTTTACGTCTGGAAGTTTTATTTGTTAAAATGTTAAATGTTTGTGTTTTACTTTTTATAATTATAATAATAAAAATACTTTTATGACACTCAGTGTTTCTCTCTGCAGTCGGAAATCCCTGTCTGGAGCTCCTGTCTCCTGTCTCCTGTAGTCAAACAGTAGTCCCTTGGCTCCTTGGTTCCTTGCTCCTTGGTTCCTTGCTCCTTGCTCCCTGCGTCCCTCGTCCTCATCTGAAGATGCAGAGGTGGTGTCTGCTCTTGTGTTTTCTGCCTCTGCTCCGGTTCACCTCAGCTCTGGTCCAGAACCTCCAGTTGGACCCGGGTCCAGGAGGAGCTCGCCTGGTGCACCCGCCCTTCCTCTCAGAGGACGGTGAGTGTTGAAATAACAGATGTGTGTTTTTTTAAACCTGCCTGTGGTTTCTCTTCATGTCTCTGCTTCTGCAGATCGAGCTCCAGCGCCGCTCTCCGTGGACCTCCCCGATGACCCCATCGAAGATCACTTCCTCCTGGACACGGGCTCCTACGATGAGGTAATGTAAGCATTTAGTTACAATAGTTTACGTTATTCAGAGTAAATAATGCCATGTTCTACTGCAGCGAGGTCAAACTCAGAGTCACAGAGGCCAAAATTTAAAAACTGGGACTAAGTCGTGGGCCAAACTAAATATTTATTTAAAAATTTCTGCATGTTTTCTCTTCTTTCGAGATATGTAATGTTAAACCTTTTCTTATTAAAATAAATGTTTAATAATAATTTTGCTTAAACATTGAATCCAGAACAAGCAGAATATAAAATAATAACAACATTGTAAATAAATAATCTCTCTATAGTCTATCTCTGTGCGGAGGGCAGCTTTAATACAGATTTGATATGATCTCACGGGCCAAATATAATTATATCACGGGCCAAATTTGGCCCCTGGGCCTAAGTTTGACATGTCTGTTCTATTGTGATAACAGTTTAAATAAATGGACATGGATAATCCACTCGCCGCTGAATCTGTGTATCAATCGTTCACTAGTTTTTCAAAATAAAACCAAAAATAAGAAAATGAAAAAACAACAATTTTCTTCATTATTTGTCTCCAAAACCAAAACAAAAACACATTTGTTTTTTCAGTTTTCGATTCTGTATTTAAATGAATAATGGAAAAAACAAATAACGTTTCCCATTTCATCCAATTTGGACGCTAATACCTCCATGATTTTTGTAACATGCTCGAGCAGAAAAACAAACAGAACACGTAATTCATTCATTCATCCAATCATAAAACTAATGTCAGTGATAGTTTCTGTTTTGGCTGAGTGCACTAATCGCTACACGAATCATTATCTGTTTTTTTCATTTTGGTTTTGGAGTCAAATAATGAAGGAAATAGTTGTTTTTTTGTTTGTTTTTTTATTTTTCGTCCCTCTCTCTGTTCCTGCTGCTCTGAGCCTCGTCGTTTTGGTCTTAAAATATTTGTATCTCCATTGTCTCTACATGATCCTGGTGTTTTTTATCTCACCATTTCGCCCATAAATCAAGATATGAATTTTAATAAGAGACAAATCAGGCGCGACGACGGGAATAACTGAGGACATTTGCAGGTTTATATTCTTCGTGCGTGTGCTGCCTCCAGTGCGTTCAGTCGCTATTTCAATTTCAAACGTGTTTCTCATCACAAACGCCGGACTGCGGGAGTGAAGATTCTCCTCTCTGGTCCTGCAGGTGGAGCCCAGTTTGGCAGGTCTGTTCGAAATGTGCCTGTGAGACGAGTTCAGGGGTTTAGTCTCACTTTCAAGGTCCAATATGAAGCAAAACTGACTCCTGTGAGCTTAAAGTCGTGTTCTAATGTTGTCACCTCCTTGAAAACAGACCTGGAGTTGTGTTTTGTTTCATTCACACGTGTTTGGAGAGTTTTAAATCTCGTCTTAAGATCCACTTTTATTCCCTGGCTTTTAAAACCATGTGAGTCCTTTATTTATTGATTTATTTAATTTTATTTATGTATTTTAACACTTTTCATTTATTTGTTATTTGTTATTTGTTTATTTGTAAAGGGACGGCACGTATTCATGAATATTAAAAATGTAAATATGTAAAGATTATCGCCAGCGTGGCTCATGAGACGTGAGACCGGGACCAGACCGGGACCAGACCAGGGACCAGACCAGGGACCAGGGGACCAGACCGGGACCAGACCAGGGACCAGACCAGGGACCAGACCAGGGACCAGACCGGGACCAGACCGGGACCAGACCGGGACCAGACCGGGGACCAGACCAGGGACCAGACCAGGGACCAGGGACCAGACCAGGGACCAGACCGGGACCAGACCGGGACCAGACCGGGACCAGACCGGGACCAGACCGGGACCAGACCAGGACTGAGACCGGGACTGAGACCTGGACCAGACCGGGACCAGACCAGGACTGAGACCGGGACTGAGACCTGGACCAGACCGGGACCAGACCAGGACTGAGACCGGGACTGAGACCTGGACCAGACCGGGACCAGACCGGGACCAGACCGGGGACCAGACCAGGGACCAGACCAGGACTGAGACCGGAACAGACTGGGACCGAGACCGGGACTGAGACCTGGACCAGACCGGGACCAGACCAGGACTGAGACCAGGACCAGACCGGGACCAGACCAGGACTGAGACCAGGACCAGACCGGGACCAGACCGGGACCAGACCAGGATCAGACCGGGCCCAAGACCGGGACCAGACTGGGACCAGACTGGGACCAGACCGGGACCAGACTGGGCCCAAGACCGGGACCAGACTGGGACCAGATCAGGATCAGACTAGGCCCAAGACTGGGACCAGACCGGGACCAGACCAGGACCAGACCAGGACCAGACCGTGATTGAGACTAGGACCAAGACAGGGACTGAGACCAGGACCAGACCGGGACCAGATCAGAACTGAGACCAAGATTGAGACCGGGTACAGGACCAGGACCAGACCGTGACTGAGACTGGGACTAAGACCAGGACTGAGACCAGGACTGAGACCAGGACTGAGACCAGGACTGAGACCAGAACTGAGACCAGGACTGAGACCAGGACTGAGACTAGGACTGAGACTGGGACCAGACCTCAACCAGACAAGGACCAGAGCGTGAGTGAGACTGGGACCGAAATTGAGACTGAGACCGAGACCAGACTGGGACCAGACCATGATTGAAACTGGGACCGAGACCGGGACTGAGACCAGGATCAGACCGGGCCCAATACCGGGACCGAGACCGGAACCAGACCAGGACCAGACCTCAACCAAACAAGGACCAGACTGTGAGTGAGACTGGGACTGAAATCGGGACTGAGGCCAGGACCAGACCGGGACCAGATCAGAACTGAGACCAAGATTGAGACCGGGTACAGGACCAGAACTGAGACCGGGACCAGACCAAGACAAGACGGTGATTGAGACTGGGACTGAGACAAGACCGGGACCGAGACCGGGACTAGACCGGGACTGAGGCCGAGACTGTAATCGGGTACAGGACCAGAACAGAGAACAGGACTGAGACCGGGTACAGGACCAGAACTGAGACCGGGACCAGACCAGGACCAGACCGTGACTGAGACTGGGCCCGAGACAAGACCGGGACCAAGACCGGGACCAGACCAGGACTGAGGTCGAGACTGAGACCGAGACTAGACCGGGACCAGACGGGACCAGACGGGACCAGACGGGACCAGACGGGACCAGACCGTGACTGAGACTGGGATTAAGACCAGGACTGAGACCAGGATTGAGACCGGGTACAGGACCAGAACTGAGACCGGGACCAGACCAGGACAAGACGGTGATTGAGACTGGGACTGAGACAAGACCGGGACCGAGACCGGGACTAGACCGGGACTGACGCCGAGACTGACACCGGGTACAGGACCAAGACTGAGACCGGGAGTGAGACCAGGATCAGACCAGAACAGGTCGAGGTCGAGACTGAGACCGAGACTAGACCAGGACCAGACGGTAATTGAGACTGGGACTGAGACAAGACCGGGACCGAGACCGGGACTGAGACCAGGTACAGTACCAGAACTGAGAACAGGATTGAGACCGGGTACAGGACCAGAACTGAGACTGGGACCAGACCAGGACCAGATGGTGATTGAGACTGGGACTGAGACAAGACCGGGACCGAGACCGGGACTAGACCAGGACTGAGGTCGAGACTGAGACCGAGACTAGACCGGGACCAGACTGGACCAGACGGGACCAGACGGGACCAGACAGGACCAGACCAGGACCAGACCGTGATTGAGACTGGGATTAAGACCAGGACTGAGACCAGGACTGAGACTGGGCCAGACCAGGAATAAAAACAGTTTAGTCCTGTTTTAGTCCTGGTTCGGTCCGTATGTGGAGGAAAACGTCCGGCATCACAGTCACTGAAGTCACGTAAACGACTCATCGTTTTTTTGTCCATTATTCATTTCGTTTTCTTATTTTTAGTTTTATATTGAAAAAACAAATGAACGGATGATACCCGGACACCCTTCCCTCCGTCCCTTCGTCTGTCCGTGTCCGTGTTTGTGTCCAGGAGCCGGGCGCGTCCCTGCAGCTCTCCGGTCGCTCCATGAGGGTTCCCCGTCGCTGTATCCTCCACCAGCAGTCGTGCCTGGGCGTCCCCAAGCTGCCGTGCTGCGACCCGTGCGACCAGTGCTACTGCCGCTTCTTCAACGCCTTCTGCTACTGCCGACGAGTGGGCCACGCCTGCTCGCCGCGCAGCCCCTGACCCCCGACCCCCGACCCCTGACCTCCGGGCGGCGAGCGAAGAGGCGCCTGTGATCACCCGGCCTGAGTCGTTTACAGAATTTGCGTCAGTCGTGGTATTCGTGATCATGTTTTCGTTGTTTTGCTCAACAGCAGCAGCGGTGGATGAAGTACTCAGTTTGGGTACTTAAGTAAAGGTACAGATACGTGGGATAAAAGTTACTCAAGTAAAAGTATCACATGAGAAAATTAAAGTATCTGCTTAAAAATGTGCTAAAAAGTAAAAGTATTTTGCAGAGATTTTTAGAAAAATTTAAGGATGAAATTTTGTGATTTAAAAAAAAAAAAAAAGTGGCTGATTTTAAGTCCTTCAATTGATTTCTTAATTTTTTCGCCCTTGTTTGTGTATTTTGTTCAAAAGTTACGTTGGAATCTCAAATTGAATGTGCTAAAAAATAAAGTTTCAGCCATTTCAGGAGGTCTCACACTTTTTACTTTTCAGTCTAGATTTAAAATGTAGTGGAGTGTAGTTTTGTTACTTAAGTAAAAGTACACATACAGGGAAAGTAAAAGTATCACATGAGAAAATCTACTTATGTAAAAGTATTAAAGTATCTGCTTAAAAATGTACTTAAAGAGTAAAAATTTGGTATTTTGCAGAGATTTTTAGACCAATTTAAAGATGAAATTCTTTGATTTTGATAAAGAATTTGGCTGATTTTAAGTCCTTCTATTGATTTCTTATTTTTTCTTGCCTTGTTTGTGTATTTTGCTCAAAGTTACGTCAGAATCTCAAATTAAATGTGCTAAAAGCGTAAAAAGTATCCACTATAGTATATATACTAGAGTAAAGTATAAGTAAAGTACAAATACCTATTTTTTTTGTTTACTTAAATAGTATAAATAATAATAATAATAAATCTTTATTTATACAGCACTTTTAAAAACAAGGTTGCAAAGTGTTGTACAAGCCGCAGAGAACAAAACAAAAAACATAAAAATAGCAAATAGAAAACACAAAAACAGACAATGATAAAAACAATCTAATTATATTATATAATAATTAAATAATTATTATTATAATAATTTAAATAGAATTAAAATAAATAAGGAATAAAATATTGTAATGTACCTTCCACCGCTGCTCATCATAAACAGTAAAAATCAGTCAGTTGTAGTTTTGTTTTTGTAGCTCACCAGGTCATTCAAGTTAAAGAACATTTTAATGCAAAAAGTGGCTTTTTTGAACTTTACCAAGTTCAAATAAGTGTAATAACTTCATCAAAAATATATCTAGAGTTGTATTTTGTTTTCACTGTTTCAATGAAACATCCAAGGTCATTTTATTAGAGCCTCAAAAAAGCCCTGTTTGAATTTTATCAGTTTTGTTGCGTCATAGATAAAACTCCAGACTTCTCCTGTACAGGTTTTTAAACTCATAAACCATCACTGGACTCATTCTGTGGCCAAAATGTGTAGCATTAAAGTTCACTCATAATCACTTCATTTATTTACATTTTAACTGTTCATTCCCGTTGCTGACAGCAGAGGGAGCTCCAGCGCTTAAATACTGCACTGGAAACTGAAGTGAATTTTGATTTTGACATATTTAAAGATATAAAATGTGATCCTTAGGTGACTAAAAGTGTTTAAAAGGGAATTAAAGCCACTTAAATGCATAATGTTCTTTAAATAAAACTGGTCAAGTGTGTAAATGTTTATTTTTAGACAAAGACTACAAATAAACGTCGCTGTAATCACTAGTTAAAGGTTTTATATTACACAAAAGTTACTTTTCTCCTCAAAAACAGACCTGGAGTTGTGTTTGAGTCACTTTTTCACTCCAAAACCCCCAAATCTTGTTAAGTTAAGATGACTTGCAATAACAAACTTTTACCGTGAATCATAAATTTCACTTGACAAGTTAAATTATCTACCAACAGAGCAAGACTTTTTGTACTTCAAATATCTTGCTGCATCATCTTGCTGCACTTAAGATCAGAAAAACAACAACTTTTTGCACTTCAAGTAAGAAACAAAACCAAATGTTGCCTTGAATTAAGAAAAACACACTTATTCCATTGGTAGATAATATTAATTTTCAAGTTGAATCCACTCAAATAAAGTCAAATGTTCACAATTTAAGCCTTTTCACTTTACCAAAACACGACTCCAGGTCTGTTTGTGACGAGGAAACTACGTTAGACAGAAACATAGATCAGAAAATATTGTAATATGCGACCTTTAACCGCGATGTTCTTCTGTATTGATCCGTTTGTTCAGGTTTAGTAGCAGTTTTCACAAACGTTGGGCTCATATTTAAACCGAAATAAACATGTTTAAAGAGTAAATTACATCGACACCAAACTGGAGGTAGATTTAAACGCGCTGCCAAAGTGACAAGAAGCAAATTTGGTTCTGACTCAAACTGATAAATCACAGGCTGAACTCAAATCAACTCTAATTTAATCTGTATTTATGATGTTTTCATTTTGTGGATAAATAAAGAGAATATGAAAGTGAAATGTCTGTGCGGCTCCATTGCTTTTTCATATACAGTAAGACTTTAAAGCTGCACTGCGAAACTTTTCTAGTAGAGGGTCCGCCACCGCCGCCTTGCCTTGTCTGGAAGGTTCCACTTTATGGCATTAAACTCATTTGTCTCCATAGAAACGAGCAGGTCAAGGCCAAGTTGCAAGTCAGATCTGTGGAGAGGTGACCTTCTCAGAGTGCGAGTGTGTTTTTTTTCCAAGAATTGAGTAATAATCCCATCCATCCATTCATTTTCTTCTGCTTATCTGGGTCGCGGGGGCAGCAGTCTAAGCAGGGACTCCCAGGCTTCCCTCACCCCAGACACTTCCTCCAGCTCCTCTGTGGGACCCCGAGGTGTTCCCAGGCCAGTCCAGAGACATAGGCTATGTTCAGACTGCAGCCTGAAGTGACCCAAATCAGATTTTTTGGCCCCTATGTTCCTGTATCTGATCTTTTAATGTCAGTCTGAACCACACAGATCCGATTTTTTCAAATGTGACCCAGGACACTTGGATATGTGCTCCTAAAACTGATACATATCTGATCTTTTGACATGTGCTTCAGTCTGAACGGCCAAAGCGCATTCATCCACCTACACGTTATCAACAAGACACAAACGTCACTATTCTGCGCTGAAGTAGGTGAAAATTGTTAATGAACTCAGTGTCACTGAAGTGAAGCACATCACCACTCACCACTCTTGGCTCCGTCTCCACATCCACACGTTCCTTTCAACAGACGTCACTGCGCTGTCCCACAAAACACCACGACCAAAAACCTCGTCCTTCTCCTTCTCAATCTCCTCCTTAAAACAAGTAAGTTGTTCATGTTCTGGCTCCGGTACGAGAGGAACTTTAAAATCTCCAGGTGCTCGATGCTGCGTCCATGTTTGGACAACTTCCGTAAACACAGAGACGCTCGCTGCGGTTGACGTCGTCGTGTCTCCAGTGTCACATGTGGGACACTTTTGGGCCCTTTAATGTTCACACTGGAGTCACATACAAGTCATATTTAATTGGAAATGTGAACGAGCTCAAAAAAACATCGGATTTCACAAAAAAATCTGAATTGAGCGTTAAGCCCTGCAGTCTGAACGTAGCCATAGTCCCTCCAGTGTGTCCTGGGTCTTCCTCGAGGCCTCCTCCTGGTGGGACATGAACACCTCCCGAGGGACATGTCCAGGAGGCATCAGAACAGATGCTTTGGCCTCAGCCGCTCCTGTTGACGTGGAGGAGCAGCGGCTCTACTCCGAGCTCCTCCCGTGTGACTGAGTAAAAGTTCATGCTGGAACTGTTAGTGCTATACTTTACTTTTTGAAAAGTTTTGTTTACTGTTTATAAGGAATTTATTTTTTATATTTCATACATTTGTTGCTCATTTGATAATATTTTATTTTATTTAATGAACCAAACCGTGACCTCAAAACCAAGGTACCTACTGAACCATGACTTTTGTACTGTAACACCGTAGTAAATACCCGTCTTTAAAAGCGTCGGTTCAAAGTGTGTTTCAGATGCTTCACAGAGTCATATTTAAAAACACAAAGCAGTCGTGTCGTATGTTTTTAGTGGTTTATTTTATCGGTTTATTGAGCTCTGGGTGTAAGGTGCGGTTTAGTTGCTGGCGATGATCTGGTCCATCCAGGCGCGGAGCTCGGTGACGCGGGCGTACACCCCGGGGATGGTGGGGGTGCAGGTGCCGCTGCCCCAGGACACGATGCCCACCAGGGTCCAGGCTCCAGACTTCTGACACACCAGGGGACCACCGGAGTCACCCTGAAACGCCACGCAGCAGCTTAACGTCATGTTTTTACTGAGCATCTATGAAAAAACTAAGACAACTACGCCTGAAATGACACAGATTTTCATAAACTAAAACTGTAATGGACGGATATACAGTAGTCCAAGAACTTCAGAGGCGTCAAAACTACATGTACAAATAAACTACACTATGACACAGTACAACGCAGGAGGAGTGTGTGTGTGTGTGTGTGTGTGTGTGTACCATGCAGGAGGAGGAACCGTTGGCTCCAGCGCAGATCATGAGGTTGGTGATCTTGGAGCCCCAGTAGTTCTTGCAGTTGTCGTTGGTGAGCAGAGGGAGGGCGGCCTGTTGCAGCAGGGGAGGAGTGTCATTGGCTGAAACACACAAAAACAACAACAACAACTTTAGTTCACTTTTGTCTTATCGGTCTGCAGTGTCGGGGAGTCACAGATTACATGTACCCGAGTTATGTAATCAGAGTACAAATGATGAGTAACTGTATTCAGTTACAGTTACTGTTTCAGGGAGTGGTGATTGGATTACAGTTACTTTGTTGAAATAAATGGATTACACAGAGGTATTTTCCTGTTTTCACATTTTGGGCTAAACCAGGACTAAACCAGGACTAAACCAGGTCTAAACCAGGTCTAAAAGCAGGACTAAACTAGGAATAAACTAGGACTAAACCAGGACTAAACCAGGACTAAACCAGGTCTAAACCAGGTCTAAAAGCAGGACTAAACCAGGTCTAAATCAGGACTAAACCAGGTCTAAAAGCAAGTCTAAACCAGGTCTAAACCAGGTCTAAACCAGGTCTAAACCAGGACTAAACCAGGACTAAACCAGGACTAAACCAGGTCTAAACCAGGTCTAAACCAGGTCTAAACCAGGTCTAAAAGCAGGACTAAACTAGGAATAAACTAGGACTAAACCAGGTCTAAACCAGGTCTAAACCAGGTCTAAACCAGGTCTAAACCAGGACTAAACCAGGACTAAACCAGGACTAAACCAGGTCTAAACCAGGTCTAAACCAGGTCTAAACCAGGACTAAACCAGGTCTAAACCAGGACTAAACCAGGACTAAACCAGTTATAAACCAGGTCTAAACCAGGACTAAACCAGGACTAATCCAGGTCTAAACCAGGTCTAAACCAGGACTAAACCAGGACTAAACCAGGTCTAAACCAGGACTAAACCAGGACTAAACCAGGTCTAAACCAGGACTAAACCAGGACTAAACCAGGACTAAACCAGGACTAAACCAGGTCTAAACCAGGTCTAAACCAGGACTGAACCAGGTCTAAACCAGGACTAAACCAGGACTAAACCAGGTCTAAACCAGGACTAAACCAGGACTAAACCAGGTCTAAACCAGGACTAAACCAGGTCTAAACCAGGACTAAACCAGGACTAATCCAGGTCTAAACCAGGTCTAAACCAGGACTGAACCAGGTCTAAACCAGGACTAAACCAGGTCTAAACCAGGTCTAAACCAGGTCTAAACCAGGACTAATCCAGGACTAAACCAGGACTAAACCAGGACTAAACCAGGTCTAAACCAGGACTAAACCAGGACTAAACCAGGACTAAACCAGGACTAAACCAGGACTAAACCAGGACACCTAACAGTAGGTGAATATAATTTCAGCAGCGGTGATCTCATATAAAAATCATTTCTCTATCAATAATATTTTTAATATGATTGAGTAAAGACTGGGCTTCTTATTTTCTTTTATCAGATAAAACAAAACATCTCATGTTCTTTGCTTCTCTACAGTAAAAAAAAAAAAAGTCTGTTCATGGAGACTTGGGCTCAACAGACAATTTGAAGAGAACAAACAAGAATGATCAGGATGTTGTCGTTACATTCATGTCGTTTTAAAAAGCACGACAATATCAAGTAATCCAAAGTATTCAGATTACGTTACTCACTTTAAGTACTTTAATGGATTATGTTACAAACTACATTGTGGGGGATGTAATCTGTAATCTGTAGGGGATTACATTTTAAAAGTCACCTTCCCAACACTGTCAGTCTGTGAGACTAAAAAACAAAGAAAAAGACATTTACTGTTACGTACAAAATTAATGACTAAAGTTTTTTGATTTAGTTCCTTACGACCTCTTGTATAACTGTGATATACTGTATTTATATTATAATATTTGTCTTTTTACTTGCTTGTACGTATAATTTATGTTTTATTTGACACTAGTCTTGCTACTTATTTAGAAGTTACACTGCCATTTTTAGATTGTTCCTCTTTGTTATTGTAATATAATGTGACGTGTGAGCTACTGTGTCCAATTTTCCCTTATTTCCCTTGTGGATCAATAAAGTTTGTCTAATTTTTCAACAAAATGTTTTTAAAAAGTGAGAAACACATTCTGCTTTCTGGATAATTGGCTTGAAAATCTCATTTTACACCATAAAAACTGTGTGTCAGAAAAACAATCTGAACAAGTAAAACTAAAGAATGTATATTATTATTTTGGCACAGGTTTGAATGTGCACTGTGTGACTTTTCTGGTGACCCCTTGTTACTTTGCCCAGAGTTTTCCAGAGTATGGCATTACATTTATTTGTACACAGTGTACACAATGATTAAAGTGGGTGTTTTGACCATATCCTGATTTTTATGTGTATTCTCCAACTCCAAGCTGTATAAACTTTGCACTGTTTTAGTTAAGATTTTTCAATTTTTTTCTATTTAATTTTGACTTGTACATTTATATACGGAAGCCCTGAAAGAAAGAGAGAGAGGAAAAAAAGAGGCAGGTAATTTGGGCTCTATTTTCTAAGTGTTTTTTTGTTTTTTTTTCACCAACTAAAAAAATCAATAAAAAATAAAATAAATAAATTATAATTCTCAAAAAAAATAAAAATAATAATAATATTAAATAAAGAAATACAATTTTCTACCAAAAAAATTGATTTTTTTTTAAATTTTTTTTATTTTTGTAAAAAAAATACAGAAAAACTTTTTTTTTTTTTTTTTTTTTTTACAAATTTTTTTTGTAGAAAAAATGTTTTATTTTTTGAGTTGGTGAAAAAAAAAAATACAGAAACCTCTCAGGGCTTCTGTATTAACATTTATATAATTACAGTGTCAAATTTCACAACAAAGATCCAAGAGGTAAGGATATTTATTTTGATATTTTGTGGAGACTAAACAAAACTGTTAATATGATCTTACTTTTTTAAGACTTAAACGTGCTTAGAACTGTTATTAACTGAAACGGAGCAAAGGATCATGGTCTATGTAGTTCTGTCTTTCTTCATTTAAGCAAAGAGACTTGTAATTCGATACATTGTGATGGTCCACGATATTATTGTGAGAACTTTGACGATACGATATACGATATTTGGATTATTATTACATCATTACTTAAAAAAATATAAATATGGGGATAAATCTGACCAATCAGATCAAATCTTCTCTGCACCATTTCCTGCTTGTTACTAGGTAAGATCGGATCACTTTGACTCGACTGCTTCCGCCTTCGCACCTCGGAACCTTATTGCGAATTTTTTCACTTCAAATTTTCCGCTCTGAATTTTGACCTTTGAATTTGAGGACTTGAAAATATTTGTGCTGAATATTTAAAAGGTTATTTCAGGTAAAAATTGAGAAAAAGTGAGAAATTCAGTGGTATTTAAAATTGAAAATCGGATGAAACAAATTATTTTCTTTAACTATAGTTGGAATATTTTTACACTGAAACTTTTTTTTTTTTTTTCTTTTCTGGTTGTACATTGTGTGTGTGTGTGTGTGTGTGTGCGTTGGCGGTCACCGTTGTAGCGGGTCAGGCCCCAGCCGGTGGTCACACACATCATGCCCCCGGGGAAGTTGTCTCCGGCGTTGGCGACGCACACGGGCGACACTCGGGTGTTGAGCTGAGCGGGAGACGCCAGTTTGATGAGGGTGATGTCGTTGTTGATGGTGTAGGGGTTGTACGACGGGTTTTTGAAGACCTGCACACCGGAGAAACGAGAGAAACGAGAGAAAAGAGAGAAAGAAGAGAAAGAGAGAAAGAGAGAAGGGTTAGAGGAGGTTATTACTGTGAGGGGGAGAGAGATTTGGAGGAGAGGAGAGGGTAAAAGGGGGATGGAGGGGCATTAGAGAGAGAGGGAGAGAGAGAAAGGAGGGTGAAGGAGAAAGAGACAAAGAGAGAGAGAGGGGGAGGAAGAGAGATGGAGGGAGAGAGGGAGGGAGAAAGAGGGAGAGAGAGAGGGAGGGAGAAAGAGGGAGGGAGAAGAGAGAGGAAGGGAGAAAGAGGGAGGGAGAAGAGAGAGGGAGGGAGAGAGGGAGGGAGAAGAGGAGGGAGAGAGAGGGAGGGAGAAAGAGAGAGAGGAGAGGAGAGAGAGAGAGAGAGAGAGAGAAAGGAGGGTGAAGGAGAAAGAGACAGAGGAAGGGTGGGTGGGAGAGAAGGGAAAGAAAGAGGGACAGCGGAAAGGATGGAAGGGGGCAGAGAGAGGGAGAGAGAAAGAGACAAAAAGAGAGAGGAGGAGACAAAGAGAGAGAGGGGGAGGAAGAAGATGGAGGGAGGGGAGAGAGGGAGGGAGAAAGAGAGAGAGAGGTGAGGGAGAAAGAGGGAGGAAAAAGAGAGAGGTGATGGAGAGAAAGGCAGGGCGAAAGAGGGAGGGAGAAAGAGAGAGGGAGAAGAGAGAGGGAGGGAGAAAGAGAGAGAGAGAAAGGAGGGTGAAGGAGAAAGAGAGAGAGAGAAAGGAGGGTGAAGGAGAAAGAGAGAGAGGGAGGGTGGGTGGGAGAGAAGGGAGAGAAAGAGGGACAGCGGAAAGGAGAGAGAAGGGGGCAGAGAGAGAGAGAAAGAGACAAAAAGAGAGAGGGGGGAGACAAAGAAAGAGAGAGGATAGGAGAGAGAGACAAAGAGAGAGAGGGGGAGGAAGAGAGATGGAGGGAGGGAGGGAGGGAGGGAGAGAGGAGGGAGAAGAGAGAGGTGATGGAGAGAAAGGCAGGGCGAAAGAGGAGGGAGAGAGGGAGGGAGAAAGGGGAGGGAGAGAGAGGGAGAGAGAAAGAGGGAGGAGAGAGGGAGGAGAAAGGGGAGGGGAGAGAGGAGAGAGAAAGAGGGAGGGAAGAGAGGGAGGGAGAAAGAGGGAGGGAGAGAAGGGAGAGAAAGAAGGACAGTGGAAAGGAGAGAAGGGGGCAGAGAGAGAGAGAGAGAGTCAAATAGAGAGAGGTGGAGGAAGAGAGGGGGAGTGTAGGAGAGAGAGAGAGAGAGGGAGAGAAGGGCGGTGGAGGAAGAGACAGTGAAGGACAGAGAGAAGTGGAGGGTGAGGGCGAAAGATAAGAGAGGGAGAGAAAGAGGGAGAACGGACGGGAGCGAAGGGGGGCAGAGAGAGAAAGAGAGACAGAGACAAAACGAGAGAGAGTGGGAGAGAGAGCGAGGGGGCAGAGAGAGAGAGAGAGAGAGAGAGAGAGAGAGAGGGGGAGGAAGAGAGAGGGAGTGTAGGAGAGAGTGAGAGAGAGAGAGGGAGGAGAGAAGAGGGAGTGTAGGAGAGAGAGAGAGAGAGAGAGGGGGGGAGGAAGAGAGAGGGAGTGTAGGAGAGAGAGAGAGAGAGAGAGAGAGAGAGGGGAGGAGGAAGAGAGAGGGAGTGTAGGAGAGAGAGAGAGAGAGAGGGAGAGCGGACGGGGGAGAGAAGAGAGAGAGAGAGAGAGAGGGGGGGGGAGGAAGAGAGAGGGAGTGTAGGAGAGAGAGAGAGAGAGAGAGACAAAGAGCGAAAGGGAGGGAGAAAGAGAGAGGGAATCAAAGAGAGAGACAAAGAGAGAGAAAGACCGAGGGGGGAAAAAGAGAGGGAGGGTAATAGTACTGCAGTAGTAGTAGTGATGACAGTAATAGTACTTATAGTAGTAAGTGGTAGTCGTCTGTTGTACATGTTTTTAATGGTAGAAGAAATCTACATAGACACAGTAGTAGTAGTAGTAGTAGTAGTAGTAGTAGTAGTAGTAGTAGTAGTAGTAGTCATAGTAGTAGTAGTAGTAGTAGTAGTAGTAGTAGTAGTAGTAGTAGTAGTAGTAGTAGTAGTAGTAGTAGTAGTAGTAGTAGTAGTCAGTAGTAGTAGTAGTAGTAGTAGTAGTCATAGTAGTAGTAGTAGTAGTAGTAGTAGTAGTAGTAGTAGTAGTAGTAGTAGTAGTAGTAGTAGTAGTAGTAGTAGTAGTAGTAGTAGTAGTAGTAGTAGTCATAGTAGTAGTAGTAGTAGTAGTAGTAGTAGTAGTAGTAGTAGTAGTAGTAGTAGTAGTAGTAGTAGTAGTAGTAGTCGTAGTAGTAGTAGTAGTAGTAGTAGTCATAGTAGTAGTAGTAGTAGTAGTAGTCATAGTAGTAGTAGTAGTCAGTAGTAGTAGTAGTAGTAGTAGTAGTAGTAGTAGTAGTAGTAGTAGTAGTAGTAGTAGTAGTAGTAGTAGTAGTAGTAGTAGTAGTCATTAGTAGTGTAGTAGTAGTAGTAGTAGTAGTAGTAGTCATAGTAGTAGTAGTAGTAGTAGTAGTAGTAGTAGTCAGTAGTAGTAGTAGTAGTAGTAGTAGTAGTAGTAGTAGTAGTAGTAGTAGTAGTAGTAGTAGTCAGTAGTAGTAGTAGTAGTAGTAGTAGTAGTAGTCATAGTAGTAGTAGTAGTAGTAGTAGTAGTAGTAGTCAGTAGTAGTAGTAGTAGTAGTAGTAGTAGTAGTAGTAGTAGTAGTAGTAGTAGTAGTAGTAGTAGTAGTAGTAGTAGTAGTAGTAGTAGTAGTAGTAGTAGTAGTAGTAGTAGTAGTAGTAGTCGTAGTAGTAGTAGTAGTAGTAGTAGTAGTCTAGTAGTAGTAGTAGTAGTAGTAGTAGTCATAGTAGTAGTAGTAGTAGTAGTAGTAGTAGTAGTCATAGTAGTAGTAGTAGTAGTAGTAGTCATAGTAGTAGTAGTAGTAGTAGTAGTAGTAGTCATAGTAGTAGTAGTAGTAGTAGTAGTAGTAGTAGTCAGTAGTAGTAGTAGTAGTAGTAGTAGTAGTAGTCAGTAGTAGTAGTAGTAGTAGTAGTAGTAGTAGTAGTAGTAGTAGTAGTAGTCAGTAGTAGTAGTAGTAGTAGTAGTAGTAGTCGTAGTAGTAGTAGTAGTAGTAGTAGTAGTAGTCATAGTAGTAGTAGTAGTAGTAGTAGTAGTCGTAGTAGTATAGTAGTAGTAGTAGTAGTCGTAGTAGTAGTAGTAGTCATAGTAGTAGTAGTAGTAGTAGTAGTAGTAGTAGTAGTAGTAGTAGTCATAGTAGTAGTAGTAGTAGTAGTAGTAGTCATAGTAGTAGTAGTCATAGTAGTAGTAGTAGTCGTAGTAGTAGTAGTAGTAGTAGTCATAGTAGTAGTAGTAGTAGTAGTAGTAGTAGTCATAGTAGTAGTAGTAGTAGTAGTAGTAGTAGTCAGTAGTAGTAGTAGTAGTAGTAGTCATAGTAGTAGTAGTAGTAGTAGTAGTAGTAGTAGTAGTAGTAGTAGTCAGTAGTAGTAGTAGTAGTAGTAGTAGTAGTCATAGTAGTAGTAGTAGTCGTAGTAGTAGTAGTCGTAGTAGTAGTAGTCAGTAGTAGTAGTAGTAGTAGTAGTCAGTAGTAGTAGTAGTAGTAGTAGTAGTAGTAGTAGTAGTAGTAGTAGTAGTAGTAGTAGTAGTAGTAGTCATAGTAGTAGTAGTAGTAGTAGTCATAGTAGTGGTGGTAGTAGTCATAGTAGTAGTAGTAGTAGTAGTAGTAGTAGTAGTAGTCAGTAGTAGTAGTAGTAGTAGTAGTCAAAGTAGTAGTAGTAGTAGTAGTAGTAGTAGTAGTAGTAGTAGTAGTCAGTAGCAGTAGTAGTAGTAGTAGTCACAGTAGTAGTAGTAGTAGTAGTGGAGGTAGTACAAGTTGTTGTTGAAGTAGTCATAGTCATATTAATAGTATTACTAATAGTAGCAGTAGTAGTTGTACATGGCAGTAGTAGCAGTAGTGGTAACAGTAGTAGTAGTAGTAGTAGTTATCAGAATAGTAGTAGTATTATAGCAGCTGTCGCAGCAGTAGTTGTCGTAATAGTCGTAGTTGTATTTTTAGTAGCAGCAGTAGTAATCGCAGTAGTCGTAGTAGCAGCAATAGTAGTAGCAGCAGTAGTAGTCGTAGTAGTGCTAGCAGTAGTAGTAGTAGTAGTAATTAAAAAGTAGTGTGTACTCTTCCGATCTTCATGTCCTGGATGGCCTCAGAGTTGGAGTCGCGGTTGTGCTCTCCCAGAACCACACGGTGAGAAGTACTGCATCACAGAGAAAAGTACAACGAGTGAATACTGCAAACTGAGAAACAGCACGAACTCTTCAACGAATGAATGAAAAAATGAATGAATGAATGAATGAATGAATGTAAATGAGTTTGTACTGACGTGACTCCGCAGTGGGCAGCGGTCACAACCCAGTTCTCGTTGACGAGGGAGCCACCGCAGAAGTGGAATCCAGTGTAGTCCTGAAGAAAAGAGGAAAAGAGAGAAAGAAAGAGGGAAAGAGAGAGGAGAGAGGGTGAAGAGAGGGATGGGGTGAGAGATAAAGAGAGGATGAAGAGAAGAGAGGAGGAGGGAGAGAGAGAAAGAGAGAAGACGTGAGGATAAACACATGAAAAAAAATGTAAAAAAAAAAAAAAAATAATAATAATAAAATAAAAAGTAAAGTTTTTGGGTTTTCAAGTAAGTGCCACCAGATATTCCAGGACTAAACCAGGTCTATAACAAGACTATTCCAGGTCTAATCCAGGACTAAACCAGGTCTATAACAAGACTATTCCAGGACTAAACCAGGTCTATAACAAGACTATTCCAGGTCTAATCCAGGACTAAACCAGGTCTATAACAAGACTATTCCAGGACTAAACCAGGTCTATAACAAGACTATTCCAGGTCTAATCCAGGACTAAACCAGGTCTATAACAAGACTATTCCAGGTCTAATCCAGGTCTAAACCAGGTCTATAAGAGGACTATTCCAGGTCTAATCCAGGACTAAACCAGGTCTATAACAAGACTATTCCAGGTCTAATCCAGGACTAAACCAGGTCTATAACAAGACTATTCCAGGTCTAATCCAGGACTAAACCAGGTCTATAACAAGACTATTCCAGGTCTAATCCAGGACTAAACCAGGTTTATAACAAGACTATTTCCAGGTCTAATCCAGGACTAAACCAGGTCTATAAGAAGACTATTCCAGGTCTAATCCAGGACTAAACCAGGTCTATAACAAGACTATTCCAGGTCTAATCCTGGACTAAACCAGGTTTATAACAAGACTATTCCAGGTCTAATCCAGGACTAAACCAGGTCTATAACAAGACTATTCCAGGTCTACTCCAGGACTAAACCAGGTCTATCACAAGACTATTCCAGGTCTAATCCAGGACTAAACCAGGTCTATAACAAGACTATTCCAGGTCTAATCCAGGACTAAACCAGGTCTATAACAAGACTATTCCAGGTCTAATCCAGGACTAAACCAGGTCTATAACAAGACTATTCCAGGTCTAATCCAGGACTAAACCAGGTCTATAACAAGACTATTCCAGGTCTAATCCAGGACTAAACCAGGTCTATAACAAGACTATTCCAGGTCTAATCCAGGACTAAACCAGGTCTATAACAGGACTATTCCAGGTCTAATCCAGGACTAAACCTGGTCTATAACAAGACTATTCCAGGTCTAATCCAGGTCTAATCCAGGTCTATAACAAGACTATTCCAGGTCTAAACCAGGTCTAAACCAGGTCTATAACAAGACTATTCCAGGTCTAATCCAGGACTAAATCAGGTCTATCACAAGACTATTCCAGGTCTAATCCAGGACTAAACCAAGTCTATAACAAGACTATTCCAGGTCTAATCCAGGACTAAACCAGGTCTATAACAAGACTATTCCAGGTCTAATCCAGGTCTAAACCAGGTCTATAACAAGACTATTCCAGGTCTAATCCAGGACTAAACCAGGTCTATAACAAGACTATTCCAGGTCTAAGTCAGAACTAAACCAGGTCTATAACAAGACTATTCCAGGTCTAATCCAGGACTAAACCAGGTCTATAACAAGACTATTCCAGGTCTAATCCAGGACTAAATCAGGTCTATACCAGGTCTAAACCAGATCTATAACAGATCTAAACCAGGTCTATTCCAGGTCTACAACAGGTCTAATCCAGGTCTATAACAGGACTGTTCCAGGTCTAAACCAGGTCTATTCCAGGTCTAAAGTAGGTCTATTCCAGGTCTATAACAGGACTGTTCCAGGTCTAATCCAGGTCTAAACCAGGTCTATAACAGGTCTAATCCAGGTCTATAACAGGACTGTTCCAGGTCAAAACCAGGTCTATTCCAGGTCTAAACCAGGTCTATAACAAGTCTATAACAGGTCTAAACCAGGTCAAAACCAGGTCTATTCCAGGTCTATAACAGGACTGTTCCAGGTCAAAACCAGGTCTATTCCAGGTCTATAACAGGTCTATTCCAGGTCTATAACAGGACTGTTCCAGGTCAAAACCAGGTCTATTTCAGGTCTAAACCAGGTCTATTCCAGGTCTATAACAGGACTGTTCCAGGTCAAAACCAGGTCTATTCCAGGTCTAATCCAGGTCTAAACCGGGTCTAAACCGGGTCTGTGTGTCTGTGTGCTCTCACCTGGAGCGACACCTGCCAGGGCCAGGAGTGGGGCACGGCCTCCTCCCCGTTGACGATTCGGGCGTAACCGGTGATGACAGGTTTGATGGCAGGGACACCGCACCCTGTCAAACCAACAACAACAACCATTTAAAACAGGAAAATGAGGACTAAACCAGGACTAAACCAGGACTAAACCAGGACTAAACCAGGACTAAACCAGGACTGAACCAGGACTAAACCAGGACTAAACCAGGACAAACCAGGACTAACCAGGACTAAACCAGGACTGAACCAGGACTGAACCAGGACTGAACCAGGACTAAACCAGGACTAAACCAGGACTAAACCAGGACTAAACCAGGACCAGGACTAACCAGGACTGAACCAGGACTAAAACCAGGACTAAACCAGGACTAAACCAGGACTGAACCAGGACTAAACCAGGACTGAACCAGGACTGAACCAGGACTAAACCAGGACTGAACCAGGACTGAACCAGGACTAAAACAGGACTGAACCAGGACAAACAGACTGAAACCAGGACTAAAACCAGGACTAAACCAGGACTAAACAGGACTAAACCAGGACTAAACCAGGACTGAACCAGGACTGAACCAGGACTGAACCAGGAACCAGGACTAAACCAGGACTGAACCAGGACTGAACCAGGACTAAACCAGGACTGAACCAGGACTGAACCAGGACTAAACCAGGAACTAAACCAGGACTAACCAGGACTAAACCAGGACTAAACCAGGACTAAACCAGGACTGAACCAGGACTAAACCAGGACTAAACCAGGACTGAACCAGGACTAAACCAGGACTGAACCAGGACTAAACCAGGACTAAACCAGGACTGAACCAGGACTGAACCAGGAAAACCAGGACTAAAACAGACTAAACCAAACTAAACAGGACTAAAACAGACTGAACCAGGACTGAACAGGACTAAAAACAGGACTGAACCAGGACTAACCAGGACTAAACCAGGACTAAAACAGGACTAAACCAACTAAACAGGACTAAAACAAGACTGAACCAGGACTGAAACAGGACTAAACAGGACTGAACAGGACTAAACCAGGACTGAACCAGGACTAAACAGGACTAAACAGGACTAAACAGGACTAAACCACCAGACTAAACCAGACTAAACCAGGACTAAACCAGGACTGAACCAGGAACTAAACCAGGACTGAACCAGGACTGAAACAAGACTGAACCAGGACTAAAACAAGGACTGAACCAGGACTAAACCAGAACTAAAAGAGGACTAAACCAGGACTGAACCAGGACTAAACCAGGACTAAAACAGGACAAACCAGACTAAACCAGGACTAAAAACAGACTAACAGGACTAACCAGGACTAAAACAGGACTGAAAACCAGGACTGAACCAGGACTAAACCAAGACTGAACCAGAACTAAAACAGGACTGAACCAGGACTAAAACAGGACTAAAACAGGACTGAACCAGGACTAAACCAGGACTGAACCAGGACTAAAACAGGACTAAACCAGGACTGAATCAGGGCTAAACCAGGAACAAACTGGTCTCAGTCCTGGTCTTAGTCCTGGTCCTGGTTTGGTCCTGGTCTCAGTCCTGGTCTGGTCCCAGTCTCAGTCCTGATCACCTGACAGTCTACGCGGCTGCACCTCACCTGGTTCAGTCCAGTTTTAGTCCTGGTTTAGTCCTGTTTTAGTCCTGGTTTAGTCCTGTTTTAGTCCTGTTTTAGTCCTGTTCAGTCACAGAAACGGGAAACGTCTTTTCGTTTTCTTATTTTTGGTTTTATATTGAAAAACGAATGAATGATCCATGGATTGAGCGTGGGCGCACTTCTGGCTCCATCGCCTCTGGCTCCAGTCGACTTTAGATTGAAAAATTGTCTCTCTTTTTGTCATTTTCGTTTTAAAAATATTCGTATAAAGTCGCTCTACATGATCCTGCTGTTTTTATTTCACTATTTTGTCCGTAAATAAATTCTTCCAAGTCAGTCTATGTCAACTAAAAGAAGTTAAAATCAGGTACATGCTCTTTAAAGCTCCACTATGTAACTTTTCTCTTGTTACTGTGGCTAGTTTTTCCAGACAGAGCTGAGTTGAGAGTTTGTGTCTCACCGTAGGTGGCGCCGACGAAGGCGAGGCACGAGAGGATCCACAGGAAGGACATGGCTCGATCATGATCTCCTCAAACCTCCTCGGGGCTTTTATGCGTCCGGAGCTGCGCCGTGATTGGACGGTTCGGGGCGGACGAGGGCTGCGATTGGCCGAGGGGAGGGTCCGGGAGGGTGAGACGGAGGCAGGTGTGAGGTGGGAGCTGCTCCATCTGGGACTCGATCCCAAACGGACGGAACAAAAGTAAATCATTCACAAACACACGGGGGACTTCAGGACACGAACCGAGACACACTCTGGTTCAAAACTGATTTAAAAACTAAATATTTCACTTTTAAGCTGAAAAATATTAAAATAAAAGTATGGAGTAAGAAAGCTTTCAAAAGTATTCGTGTGTATAGAATAGAAATCCTTGCATATTTGGCTGTAGTTGCGCATAAAATAAATATTTGTAAACTCTCAAATGAGTCCAGTCGTACATAAAATAGATTGTGTGTATTTTATCCATCAGAATACGAATTGAAAAGTTACGACGTCAAGAATCACAATCACGAAATGAAAATTTACGATTACGCTTTCATCAGTACGAATACGAATTCACAGACGGAATTTTACTGTCAAAAATACGTCATCACTTCACAGACGTTATTTATCGAGCAGAAGAAACATCGATCAAGATCAAGACTGCGCATGTTTACGTTTGTAGCAGAGGGTAAAAACAGAGTAATAACACAACAAGGAGCTACAACAGCGACCAACACGTGGGTTCATTGTAATAATTATTGACCAATTGACCAATCCACAGGGTTGTCGAGCTCCGGCCCTGCCGTGGGCTCTGAGCCTCCGGTCTGGTCCCGGTCTGGTTCTGGTCTTGTCTCGGTCTCGGTCTCAATCCCGTCTCAGTCCCGCTCTGGTCTCGGACCTGGATCAGTCCTGTTCAGTCCGTACCCGGTGCAAAAGTGTCATCGCAGTCACGGAGTCACGAATCATTATCCGTTTTTTCATTTTGGTTTTAAACTGTTGTTTTTTCGCTTATTTTGGTTTTATATTGAAAAACGAATGAACGAAGATACAAGAAGAATGAATAAGATACTGAGTAGAAAGAGGAGGCAGAGGCACTTTCATTTTAGGGCTGATGTAGAGCAGCAGGTGTGAGGATCAAGACCCCAAACACGTGATTATTAAAAAACTAAATATCCATAAACATATACATACTGAATCCAAGTATACTGACAACAAACCATCATAACAAAAAACACTGTTGTGCATAAATTGGAGTCAGTGATAAATATTCCCTTAGGTTACATGGCGCACTTCAAGAACTTGACATTATCACAAGAAGAAAGCAAAATAAATGTAGTAATAAAAGTTATTAAAACTTGACCAGGACTATATTAGTAAGTAAGTCTTTATTTCTATAGCTCTTTTCACGGACATTTTCTGTCCCCAAAAACACTTTACAGAGCATTATTTATTCAGCATTATTCGTTCACTCTATACCTGGTGATGGTAAACTACTGTTGTAGCCACAGCTGCCCTGGGACAGACTGACAGAAGCGCGGCTGTCGTGCCAATCGGTGCCATCGGTCCCTCCGACCACCACCATCACACACACACACACACACACCACTTTCATACTAGGCAATGTGGGTGAAGTGTCTTGCCTAAGGACACACAATGATTGAATTGTAAACTCCACACTATATTAGTACTATATTAGTACTAGACCAGGACTAGACCAGGACCTTCCTCCATTACAGGATTTTATTAAAGTAAAGACTGTGAGTGGGACTAGGGCCACAGCCCGGGGGAACTGTGACGTCCCACACAGACGCTCCACATTCGGGCAATGTGTGTCTCAGTCAGAGGCACAACATTTTGGAACAGTCTGCCACTATCAGTAAGAGAAACTTCAACTCTTGCCACTTTCAAGTCCTACTTAAAAGAGCGGCTAAAGAAAAAACAGACTTGTGGACACTTTTAGTATAGATTTGTTACTTGTTTTTGCTTTGTTTAAATTTGTGGTGTTTCCTGCCGAGGGACGACAGATGGAAATGATCTTAGTCTTGCTATAATCTGGCATATTTACACTGCAATGTTGTAGATGTTCATTAATATGCACTGTCCCTATTAAATAAATGGTCACATTTTTTCTATAGCGCTTTTCCACCTTCAAGGCACTCAAAGCACTTTACAACAAGGAACCACTCACCCATTCACACATCAGTGTACGCAGACACTGTGGGCAAGGTGGGTTAAGTGTCTTGCCCAAGGACACAACGACAGCATTCATCTGTGGGAGCTGGAATCACACCAGCCAACCTGTGGGTCAGTGGATCTGACTGCTCAACCTGTGATGTTTATGTTGAGAGCTGGAATCGAACCACCAACCTTTAGATCAGTGGGCGAATGCTCTACCAACTGAGCTACTGCCGCCCCTTAATAAATAAATATTAGTACTAGACCAGGACTAGACCAGCACTAATCCTGTACTATATCGGCGAGTTTCATTGTTGACAAAAGCGTGTGTTGCATGCTGGGAATTATTTTGGTCGGCGGCAATAAACACTAATTCAACATGACGGACGGAGTGAGAAAGCACGTAAAGGGTATTGATCCCGGTTATTTATCCAGTCTAACGGCAGAGGACCCAAGACCATTTGACCAGAAATTAGTCATAAACATCGATGGACGACAAATCACCCTTTTTAACCCAGACAAAAGGTGGAACAAACCAAATTTCTGGTCAGAATCACCAACAACCTGGACAAATATTCACTTGGGCGATATCCACAATGACTTGGTGGAAACTCCTGGGCCATTCACAGCAGAAAAGATGAAAACCTCCAAGAGTCTCGATGTGTTGTTGAACTTGTTGGAGTCCACGGTTTGTTAGGATCTTCTACGTTTGCTCTGCGGATGTTTGAAAGTCGTTTAATTCACCGTTAGTGGTTCTTTTCACTCAGAATACGAAAAAGACATTTTCCTTCTTCCGTGCTTCTATTTGTGCATCTGATAATGCAGCAGGAATTTACCATTATCGGGGATAAATACGTGAGGTTACGCACTGTGTTTGACGCTACCGTGTTTCTTGCCTCCAACCAAAATATTTCCCAGCAGCAACGCCGGCTTTTAATAACAATGACGTCAGCTGAAACTCGCCGATTAAACCAGTACTATATTATTTCGAATTTTGCTGATAAATTCTTCAGAGCAGTTTATGTAACACCGTCCCTGCCTGTCTCCGTGGAGATATTGTCGCTTTACCTGAAATGTCCCACAGTGTTGCATTAAACTCATCGATCATGAGATAAAGTCACAGGTCAGATCAGCAAGAAAACATTTTTTGATCATTTTTTGGCAATAAAATCCAAAATGAATGACACAGTGGAGCAAAAACATGTCGACTGAGACCAGCAGATGTTAAAAAAGTTACTTAGTGTTACTTTAAAGTTGTTTTCATGCTTGTTTATTTAATCATATTTCTGTACAGAGCAGCAGACTCGCTTCTTGGATGTGGAGTTTGTTTATGTAGGAGGATTTTTTTGAGGCTTAGATCTTCTGCCCACGTCCTGCTCATTTTTATAATTAAGTGTAAGTATTTTTTTTTTTTTTTGGCAAACTTGAGTAATAAATTAAATGTTACTGTTTAAAACTCCTATAAGATCTACTTTTCTACTTTTCTTTTCTCAATTTGTTAGAATAAAAAAAAAAAAGTTACTTCCGACCAAGAAACCAAGACGTACATTGGGTCAGAACGACGTTAAAGTTAAATTTAATAATAAAAACACAAGAAAACACCTTTATTTTGTTGAAATCATTCTCTTTTTTTTGTTTATCATGTTCGTAACCTTTAAGCCTTTTCACTTTACCAAAACACAACTCCAGGTCTGTTTGTGATGAGGAAACGACATTAGACAGAAACACATGTAACCCACCCAACTTTTACTCATTAATTTGTTAGTGTGTTCCTTTAAAGTTCGTTTAACTATCATATCAACTTATCATATGCGCCCAGTAGAGGGTGCTGTAGGTTCTGTTGCAAATGCACCGCCGTCTTGTGAAGAAACTGGACAGTACATAGATAAATCAAATTGCAAAGAGTTCAACAAACGGGATCCTGCTTTGTTGTCGTTCCACATACAAAATGTTCGCTGCAAACTCTGACCCTTTTTGGTTCTTCCTGTGGATCAATCCTGCCCATCGCCTTCGCTTTTCACTATTTTTCAATTCCGTTGGGAAGAGAAACAGTTTGAACGGAGGTTTGCAGTCACACATATTTGATTCCCTTTTGCATTTATGTTGTTCGCAAACAAATTTCTCAAGCCGTTTCCTGCTGTTAGGATCCAACAACCACACAATTACGATGTCCGAATCCCAAAACTAAATTATGACAATATCAGAACCAGAAACAAAAGTGATATGGTTCAAAAGACTTGAAAAGATCGACTTTGTCAATAGACAGCATCCCACTGGGAAAACAAGGAGGTTTGATGCTCACTTTTTCGGAAAATCCTTCCCAGTACGGATTGAGCAATGACCGGAAGTCTGAGATTCTTGATGCATGTATGGCAAAAGGTTTCTATGGCTACCTTCAGACTGCAGGGCTTAACGCTCAATTTAGATTTTTTTGTGAAATCTGATGTTTTTGCGAGGTCGTTCACATTTCCAATTAAATGTGACTTGTATGTGACTCCAGTGTGAACGGTAAACGGCCCAAAAGTGTCCCACATGTGACACTGGAGACACGACGACGTCAACCGCAGCGAGCGTCTCTGTGTTTACAGAAGTTGTCCAAACATGGACGCAGCATCGAGCACCTGGAGATTTTAAAGTTCCTCTCGTACCGGAGCCAGAACATGAACAACTTACTTGTTTTAAGGAGGAGATTGAGAAGGAGAAGGACGAGGTTTTTGGTCGTGGTGTTTTGTGGTTCAGTCTGTTGAAAGGAACGTGTGGATGTGGAGACGGAGCCAAGAGTGGTGAGTGGTGATGTGCTTCACTTCAGTGACACAGAGTTCATTAACAATTTTCACCTACTTCAGCGCAGAATAG